TTACAAAATGTTTTCAAATTACATTTATTAACTTTTATTTCAGTTCTAATAATGTATTGTGCTAATAAAGTAGGAAGCAGCATTATAATAAATGTGGCTTAAATTTTGATATTCAGTGAACATATAAATTTGTCCTGAACAGGTTAAAGATATATTTGAACATGTTTATTATAGATTTTTTCTTTTTGATTGGACTGGTGATCTGATAAAAAATTAGATTGTCCGGGACATAAAAAAATGTCCTAGACAATTTCTAAAATTAGCGGACATGTTCACATGACAATGAACAATGACAGACGCGGACGATGGACATGAAACACAGACAATGTTGTCCCATAAAAATCTGTGGACATCGTCCGTTATACAACACTGCTTAATGCATTTGTCTCAAATTCTGGCAACTTTATCAAATCTGCAAGTACCTATAATAAAATACAATTTTCCTCTATATTTTAGTAGATTAATATTTTGATCTGTTTCTGTCTAACAATAAGCTTTCAATTTAATTGGTGAATCCCAGTCATTATCTTCATTTAAATAATAATCAGCCATTTTCATTAACAAGACTTGATATTTGTTATTTAAGTTTTGAATATAAGACTACGAGAAATAAAGATAAATTATTAACAGAATACACAATACTTCACAGATATATAGTAAAGATAATTACCCGCAATGATAACATCTTTGCAGCCACCTTTGTCAATTTGGGCAACGCTGTTACTTCTTCAGGTATATCAAATTTCATGATTGAAAAAACTATTGGTCGCATATTTTTTGGCCAATTAGCTAGATATACCTCGGCACTTGCTCCTATAATATAATATATCAAAAGCTATTAATAAAATAGCTGCGATATAAATAACAAAAATTAACTAACTGCTGAATTGCACACAAAAGACAGGTATGAATGATATCTCTTCTAACATTTTTTCTGAAAGAGTAGACACCATCAATTTAAACATAAGAATAATGGCTTGATGCAACTTTGACAAATCATTCTCTGTTTTTGATAGTATAGATGTGAGTTGTCATTTCTACGTAAATAAATTCGAACTGTTTACTAAATGACAGAATTCCATCATATTTTTTTCTTTTCCATGATGTTCGGTCAAGGAATTTTTGTGCATAACTCTTAACTTCACTTCTATTATGCCAAGAAACATAATAATCAGTTAAGGAACATAATAAAATATTAGCATAAAACATATTATTCAATGTACCGTCGAAGAATCCATTCATTAACTGATTCAAGACATTCATCGAAAATTGGAGCCACAATGTGACTATTATACCACTCTTCCTGTAGCTCGAAGCTATCAAGGTTTAATGAACCATTATCTTGAAATAATAGAAAACTGTACACAAAATCAATATTCAGAAATAACTGTATTTCAATTTCAAAATGAAATACTTACAATTTTTGAAAGAGACGATGTAAATAAAAAATGTCACGATCCAGATTATTATAATCAATATGGACTTCTGAGAGGGTCTTTCCAAGGTCTTTTAAGGATGTCTAAAAAAGTAGATTATAAGTAATCACATCTGATTATTATTTTTCGTGAGTTATTCTTTGATTACTTACAACATTAAATTTTTTCAAACAATTTGCAATTTCTTTAGATATGTTTTTCTTAGGTTTATAATCTTGTATTATTGGTTCGCCTAGACCTTCCAAAACAAAATCGTCATTGAGGTCAATAATACCGTAATCAAGCGATATTTTCGTTTTCGATTTTGTTTTTTGACATTTTTTGTATAAATTCTGAAGAATTTGTTCTATGTCAATATTGTTGATTATCAAAGTTGTACTTCTACGGTGCTCAATCCAAATCCATTTCAATATTGAGTAAGGGCTTGAGACGTTTAAGAAAATTTAATGGCGTGAAAGAATCAGTAGGTTCGGGGCCTTCTTTCTGCTCTTTTGTTATAATGAAGGGGTTATGTTCTAAATCTTCAGAATCGGTATGTGATGATGGTGTTGTGTGAGAATCAATAGGTTTGAGATTCTCAGTTACAATGAAGAGGTTATTTTCAGAATCAACATTGGTGTTTGGTTGTTTATTTAATGCGGTGAGTTTGTTTCTAGTCAGATTTGATACTGCACTAGAATGGTGGATAGTATCTTTATGTAATGTTGCCTCGATATGCAACTTTGTTAATGAAAATTAACAATTAGGCATATCAACAAGGATTTCTAAACACGATTCTATAATTCCTTACTTATCTTTACCTCTGATATTTTTGCCGCAGCCTTAACTTTTTGTTCAGCTTCTTTTCTCTCAATTCCTTGCCAGTATTCGATAGCATATTGACTTTCCCTTCATTTCTATATTATAACATATGAAATGCAGTATGTTAGGTACAGCTCTATCAGATACATATGAATCAAATAATGATATGAACAAAACTTTAGGTCCTTTCTTTTTTCCTGTGCTAGGCTCCTTATTGCCGGATCATTCACATAATTTTGTAAGTAACCGAGAGAGTTGGCTAGAAGCTGTTGAGCAGTTGATTTCTTCGTATACGCAAACTTAAAATGATCAAAAAACAAAGTCGGGTTCATTTCACTCAGATGGTCGAGTATAAACTTATAATAAATATTCTCCATATTGTTTCTTAAAAAAGAATTACGAATTTTAAAAAAAACGCGAGATAAAATTCATACGCGTTAGGGTGTCCAAGAATATGTGACACAAATATATGCGCATATTTTAAGATTTTTTTCACATATTTTATTTTATAGAAAATCACATAAAATATGCATGCACATATTCTGCAATAAATATGATTAGTTGATCATAATCATTGATCATAATCATAAATCTAATCATGAAAAATATCATCGATCATCATCGCTTTTTTTTTTACAATGGTAACAGCAATCGAAAGGGTTAATTCTACGCAAAACTATAAAGACAACTA